CGCTCCCGCTTTCCGATCCTGGGTGCCCCCAATACTGCAGGGCACCCGGGACGGGGGTGTAAGGCGCACTGCATGAAAAACCTAGCCAAAACATTTGAGGCACATGAGACTCCCTTCCCTCCAGCTACCAAACACGACCCTCCTAGGGATCCCCACTTACAACGTGTTCTGGTCTCGCTAGGGACAAGGAAAATAACTAGCGAGTCTGGTGTTGAGGTATTTTCACGGCCACGCGAGATAAGCTGATATGTTATCTTGATTCCGAAACTACCTCCTACCTCCTCGCATAATTGTATAAAAACCTTACCCGAATTTTGAAGTGAGGGGAAGTTTAGGGTCAATAGGGCCAGTTCTCTCAGATGTGCTCCAACTTTGTTACTTTTCCCATTTTGAATGTTTTAGGTCGCTACTAATACAGAAACAGCGAAGAACGTTGGCAATGCGATTCTTTACGAGACTGTTTTAACGATTATGGAAATAAAAAGCGAGAGGTAGGGCCTTATTGCTTGTTGCTCGCCTCATTGGATATGTTGCACTGCGTTAAAGACTTTTTATTTAGTGGACTTCGAGTACTGGCCGTGAATATACTGGGTCGCTTTTTGTTGAATCCGGATAAAAATATTCGGTAAGTTTGAAAGTGGGTGACTTCCCGAATGGGGCTGAAATTTGTATCGTGGTTCTGAGCTTCAAACCATGTTGAAATGTTTCTTTTAGTTATGTTGCCTTGAATACCTTGCTCAAAACTGTCGCAATAGACTACCAAGCTGTGCAAAGGCATCGTACAACGGTTGTGGATTGCCTGAAGGATCCAGATGTTTCTATAAGAAAGTAAGTACAGGTTTTATGCTATATGCACTGGGAATTATATTTCTGACCACTCAGCTGTTACAATCCCTAAATGTCAAATTTTTCTATTCACTTTCGCCCACAAGGGTTATTTGGCGCCCTGAGTGAAAATACGCCCGTTTTCATTGGCAGTAAGCACCGCTTCACTACCGTAAGTTCTCCCATCGAAAACGAACAAGCAGGCGGTTACAATCTCGAGCATATGGATTGACTGAGATGTTTCTTTAGAAATGGGCGAATTTATGGCGCACGAAGCTACAGGTCCCAATTCGCCGTTGTGGTTTCTCCATAAAATTTGATGTAAATATTCATTCATAAGTAATCTAAGGTTCGATTTTTTTCAAAAGTAGATTATTTTCAACGCTGGTGCAGGAGCCACTTCCATCCCCACCTTACCCGCTAGTGTCGTCGCCGACTTACATTAGTACTTCGGGATCCTGTTCTCAAATATTTCTTTCATCTGTGGGCGCCAACGCCGAAATCAAGTTCCATGAAACCATTTGCCCATACCTGCAATTTCATAGCGATTTCGGTGAAAACGTCGTAGCGCCAAATTTTATGTCGTATTTGTGACTGAAGTAGCCGCATCATCGTTTTGAAATCCAACAGGCAGGTGCAGAGTCGTAATAAATCGTCAAGGAAAAGGGAGTGAGAAGCTTGGCGATCTTTTCAGTGGTTGGTTTCTCGCCGTTCCCTGATCGGCTGCGGAGCAATTTTACCGTTACTTCTCGCTAGCTCGAGGCATCAGGGAGGAAGGGTATTTCCCAGTAAATTTCCCATATTGCAACGATGTGCTTTAATTCGGATTCAAAATGTTTCAACAGATTTTTCTTATGAGATTTTGCGGCTGTAGTGGTTGAGTAATGGGTCGCTTTCGAAATTAGTTGCAGGTCTTATTAATATTTGCAAAGAAATCTTCATTACTTTATATTTTCAACTATTTATTTTCTTCAAATCTAATTGATCCTCGTCCAGGCGTGCTATGGAATTGTGTTTCGCGTTAATGAACAAAACAAACATCGCAAATATGACTAAGGAAATACTGATCTTCTTAGAAACCGCAGATCCTGAGTTCAAGGCAAGTGTTTATTTTTATTTTGTGACCGAAGTTTTCAATAATTTGCCGTTCCAACACCTTTTTTCCTCTGCCTGTTACGTGGTTCGTTCTTTGTTGCATGACCCAAGAGAGCGAAATTATCTGGTCCATAAAGAACCTACCATGCTGTCACTAGTGCTGCGGTGGAGAGATACCGCAACCTAGGTAGAGCTAGAAGTGGATTTTCTGTGCACCCTGTGCTTTTTCCCATCCATTGCTATTATTTTTTTCCTTTGAAATTGCCAAAGCTCTGAGGAAATGACGAATCTGCAAAAAGAAAAACGTATAAATGTCGATTCTTAGAAATACGAACCAGCGGTATAGTCAGAAGTCTGAAGAGTTGCCCAAATCGACGACAAACGCTAGATGGGAGTAGATAGTTGAACTCTGTTCTTTGTAGTGTTTTAAATCTGCAGACTCTGCGGAATCTCCGTTCCTTCAGATCGATATCTATACCTTCTTTTTCCCTTGGATTCATTTCATTTCTTCAATGTCTGAATGCCGCATTGTTGCTGCTCCAGCGAGCCATAATCCCCAGAGAAATTTGCTTTCTGCAGTTTCTAGAGCTTTTGAACGCTATCACCATTCAATGTGAGGGGCTTGAAGCTGTA